CTTATTTCACGATGCTTTATTGATCTTCACGGCTTGAAGTGTGATGCACAAGTGAATTTGTTTCACTCAATAAGTTTTTAAAAAAAAATCAAAAGCTCTAATTTTCTGATTCTTTGTTGATCTTTTTATAGTTATTTGAATGTCAATTTGGCTTTTCAAGAATTTGAATTTAAGGAATTCTGGAGTTTTGGATTGTTAATGATATGCATTCGTGTGCATGTGTATTATGTTTTACTTAATATTTTGCAATTCAATTTACGGTAGATGTAAAACTTTTGTTCATGTGAAAAAAAAAAGTTATTACTAGTAATGATTACATATTGACTTTTTATTTTCTAATTCTAACTCTAATGCCAATGGAGATTTCGTAGAAGTTTACTGCTATGAAATTGTTAATGTAATCACAACGAGAAAGGGCCATTGATTTGAAGAGCTTTATTAAAAATAGCTTGTTAATGATTGATAAGTTTGTTTACTTTTTATATATTTATTTTTAATAGATGTGAGACTGTATTTAGTATATGGTAAATTTATATTTTTGCTTGAATGTGCGCATATGTATATATGTAGTATATAATTGTATACACTAGTCATTTATTGCACACAAACTGAGCCCGTGATTCTCTTGCATTCATAATCAATGCTTGATGTCTCAATAGCATTCAACATTCCATTGCAAATTTTGTGTCAGTGTGCCAGATTATTAGAATATTTGCTACTATTATGTAGTCTCTTGCTTTTGTCTAGGTTCCAGAGTGTTTCATCCACATCTTACAGTCTCTTGCACTGACATACTAAAACTGTGAACTCTGGATTACGATGTGATGGTTAGATTTTGATTTTCAGGAGTTCAATTTAAAGATTGAGCTGTTCTTCATAAATACTGCTTTTGATTATATCCCCATTTTAGAGCTGAACTCTATGAAGTTGAAATAAGTTGGTAGGAAGATTTTTGGAGGAGTATTGCTTTCCCATTTGTACTAATTGGTAATTTATTCCTTCCCAAAGTCGTTTTGACGGGAAATAACAGAACAAAGAGTGTTTTGCTTGGCCTATAGGGTGTTGTCAAGAAGGTTGTTGCCTATTCGGCTTGGTGGTTGGCACTGGCTGGTATTACTCTTCACTCTCTTAGCACAATATATACATTACTTACCATGCCAATGCTTTGAATATCTGTTAGTCAACCAACAGAACTGCATTTAAGCCATCAAGTTTCTGAGTTAGGTTGTAGTTTGCTTCATTGGACTCTCTGGAGTCTTGTATTGGTTAGCAGTTAGTGGATGTTTATTTGTTGCATTTAATATTTTGTAAATAATAGTTTTTCCATAGTCTAGCCAGCCCGGTGAAGTAGTTATTAGTTAGACATACCTCTGTTTCTTGATATTAAAAAGCATTATTGCTTTATTTTTATCCTTTGTTTCTATAAGAATTTCTTCGTATGATTTCTGTCTCAAGGAACTGCAGTTTAGATTTTTTTTTTTTTTAATGAACTCCAAATGTGCCTTCCCTTCCTTGCTTGCATTGCTGTGCTATTTTGGTTGGTAGTGGTAATTGTTGTCACTACTACTAACATGGACAAAGCCAAATAATTTTATTTTTTATTATTAAGTGTTTGTGGTGAAACAATGAACTTACTGCACACTATTCTCTTCTGTTTAAAACAGAAAAAATAAGGAAACTTAAAAAACAATGTGCTTCTCTTTTGTCTCCATGGGTTCTTTTGTATGCTGGATGATAGTTGTTTTTGTGTCTACTCATGGTAAAAATGAGCTCCAAGAGTTATGAAACCTCTCTTAATTTTGTCAAGTGATATTTGAGGGCTTGAAATTATGTTTGGGACCATTCTTTTTCCTTAAATTTTTGATATATTGCATTGTTTTATTTGCTCTATATGCTGAAATGACTTAAGTAACTTTAATTTGACCTTGGGCTGTTTATTTTTCTGAATGGAATACTTTTCCCTTTTTGGAGGTATTGATGAACCTTTGCAGTCTCACTGCTTTTATGGAGCCATTGATGGAATGGATATATGTTAACAAGGATGGTGCACAAGTTGGACTAGTGGGGAAGGATGCTATTAGAAGATTCTGTTCAAAGGAAATAGATTGGTCCACAAAGTGTTGGCCTTCTGGGATGACTGATTTGTACTATTTTTAACAATGTAATATTACACCATGCTATACATTTGTTATTATTATTGAGTTTAAATGTTTTAATATAATATATTTTACAATTATATTATTGAAGTACTATATTATAGGTTTAATGCAAGTATTTGAAATTAATTAACAGGTGATTATTTTTTTAAAAAAAAAATTAGCAACGCACAAATATTGTAGTATATCCGTAGCTAAGTACTTAATAACAATAAATAATGACAACGAAATAGTGACGGAAAAATCTGTTTCTAAATTTAGCGACAGAAAATTCCGTCACTATTCCCTAGCAAATTTCGTCACCGGATCGTCGTGGTAGAAAACTAGCGACGGATTTTTTGTTACTTTAGAGACGGAATTTCCGTTACTAGATTTAGCGACGGAATTTTCTGTCGTTATTCTCTTGCAAATTTCGTCGTCAAATTGTCACAGAGAGGAAAATAGTGACGGATTGTTTTTGTTTAGCGACGGAAATATCCGTTGTTAAAATTAGCGACGGAAATAAATTGTGTCGCTAAGTTCTAGCGACGCGCCTTTTAGCGACGGACCAATTCCGTCTCTAATCCGTGGCTAATCACTTTAGCGACGGATTTTTCCTATTTAGCGACGGAATCGGTCCGTCGTTATTTTCACATTTTTTTGTAGTGGATTCTATTAGTGTCTGGCCAAGCACTGGCTATGCATGCAATCACACTTGAGATGACATTAAAGTCTCCTCCCAACAGAACAGGTGAGGAGTTGTCTAGGAGAACTGTAAGCTATGCCCAGAGCTGTGCTCTCTCCCCTCTTGTGTGCTTCGCATAAATTATTACAAAACGAAAAGCAAATTGCCATGGCGAGTAGACAACCTTACAACAAACGAATTGGTCACTATCCACCTCAATCTCTACCTCAAAATTGTCTGACCAGAGGAGCCAGATTTTGGACTCCGATGAAGCATAACCATCAAAAAATCCAAACTCTTGCACCATGTGAATCAAGCGATCTTGAGCGAGCATAGGCTCGATTATGGAAGCAAAGTAAACACGCTCACATCTAAGAAGTCTTTTGAGCCTACGTCGTGAGGAGAGTAAGCCCCTGACGTTTCAGCTGAATATATTCATTTCAAACGGTGGGAAAAAGAGACTCTGGCGATTTTCCCCGCCGCAAGACGAGTTGTGACGACTGGCACCTGGGAAGAGCAATCCTTTCTTGGCCTGCTTTTCTTCTTGCTCACTGTGACAAAGTTATCCTGCTTCGAACCTCCCAACTGTGAAGCAAAGATTTTTACTTGCCTCTTTCTAGGAATCCAGTAGAGATTGAGTGAAGGCCTATGCATTATGTTCTTCATCTCCATCTGACAAATGGCCTGGCTGCGATTCTGTTGACTGTGAACGCTGAATGCCTTGATTATTAATAATATTCACCCCAGCGAAGTGTTGACAATCGGGACTGTCAGCGGTGTTGTTGAACTCCCTACTTCTATTTCGTTCGGTCAACCATCTGGAGCATTATCTTGCCGATCATCTGGGCATGTAACAACTTGGTTGATCGATGGGCGCCATCTTTTCCGCGGTGGGACTAAAAGCGGTTGTCAGGAAGGGCGTGATTCTGTCACCACCACATCCCGTCGTGGCTCATGGTGTTGTCTGTCGTCTTTAACGCGGCACTCTGAAGCCAAGTGCCCAAACTTCGGCATCCCAGATAGTAGGGTGGAATGTATTCATACGAGCCGTTGTTGATCCAAATATGATCCGTCGGGGTGGTACTAACATCCAGTTTCGTACAGACCCTAGCCACAGAAGGCTAGTTGTGTGACAGAGTTGAGGCATCTACTTTCAACGGGGAACCAATGAGATTTGCAATTGAATAAATTGCTCTCTTATCCTGCAGATGAGCTAGCAGTCCCTCCAAAGAGATCCAGACAGGCACAATCGGTGACTCTATCTCGGGGAGAAAATTGGGCGTCCATTTGAACACCCGCATGAGAGCTCCTTTGATCGACCAGGATTTCCTTAGCCAGCATCGTTGGAAGTCAGCCCCGTGATCAATGAGTATGCAAACATAAGCATTTCAATATAGACTTTGAAAATAGTTGAGTAATGATATAAGAATGGTCAAACACTTTAAATGTACAAAATATACATGAATCAAGATCATAGACATTCATGAGACATCTTTAAGTCATAACATATTACCAATGGACTCATCAAATAATGACTTACACTCATGTAATCATATCAAACACCTTTTAATAATCATACTTGAATAACACTTGAAAAAAATAATAGATCATGATTTGTATTTGAAAATGGTTTGCAAACAATCATGTTTAATATTTTTTTCACGAACACGTCAAGTCCCAAGCCGTACGAGTCACTCGGACCAGTGAAAATGAACCGTGGCCGGACCCTAGGGGCAAAAAGGGAATTTCACCCAGGCCCATACCACGCAGGACCAGGCAGGCAGGGCTTGCAAGCCCCGCCGCAGGCGCTGCATAGTATTGGGCGTGACTAGCAGTGCACAAGGCGCTGCCCTTCACGCCCTGCCAGTACAACTGAGGAGGATGAGGTAATAGCCCATCCTCCTCTGTTCTTCCCCGATAGCAACTGTGAACCATAGTATATTTATTATTATTATTATCTTTGACTAGTCTTGTAACAGGTTTGTTTTGTTATGGTCTCCCTGTTAGATATGATAGTATTACGGTAGTTGTTATTGGTTTTATATTGTAACTCCTATCCTATTGGGTTGAATAATCTGAAACAGTTATCTCATCTGGTATCAGATAGACCAGGTACTCTCTCTTTCTCTCCTCTCCCCACAAACCCGTCGAACCCCCACCTACCCTTCCCGGCGACCGCCATGTCCGGTGCATCCAATTCATCCGAGCGCAGAGTCACCACCGATGATGGAGCACATCCGGTCGCCCAATCCTCCCTCTCAAATGCCCACCACTTCGTATCCATAAAGCTCACATCCCAGAATTTTTTATTCTGGCGAATACAGTTAGTGCCATTTCTCAAAGGTCAAGAGCTCCTCGGCTTTATTGACGGAGAAACGCTGTGCCCACCACTGATGATTAAGGTCACGCCGTCCGACTCCAGTTCCGCCGCGACGACATTCGGCTCCACCCCGAATCCGGCCTACCGTGCGTGGGTTAAACAGGACCAGTCTCTACTGTCTCTGTTAATCTCTTCATTGTCTGATGAAGTAATGTATCTAGCGGTTGGCAAGACTACATCCAGGGAAGTCTGGGAGTCTATTGGAACTGCTCCTGGTTGCTCAACCAGGGCCCGATGCCTAAGCTTGCTCGGACAGTTCCACGCACTCTGGCAAGGCAATGCAACCGCGGCAGAATACCTGGGGCGCGCTCAGCTTCTTGTTGAGGCATTGGCTCACGCTGGTCGACCGGTGTCATTGGACGAACAAAATCTATTCGTGCTTTGCGGACTATGCCCAGAGTTCCGCTCAATGGCCTCCTCCCTCACGGCGGCTGGCCGACGGGTAACCATTCCCCAAATCGGTGACTATTTACAAGCACAGGAGTTTATACATGCAGATGACTTTTCGACCGGCGTTGATGGTGGGCTACTGCAGGCGCCGTCTGCAATGTATGCTGGAAGGGGTCGTCATGGTGAAGGCGGACGCGAAAACTTCAGCAATCCCGGACGCGGTAGTCAGGGCCGAGGCCAGAATGGTAGCAATTGGTGCCGTGGTGGTCGAGGCAGTGCACCCCGATGCCAAATCTGCCGGGCACAGGGTCACACCGCGCTATATTGTTATAAGCGATATGCTCCCGCACCACCGGCTCAGGCCAATCTTGTGGTCTCCGGTGAAGATGCCGCAACAACAACAGCCTCGGCCTCCGGGTGGTTCCCGGACACAGGGGCGACGGCCCACGCCACACCGGATCAGTCCATGCTAGCGCAGTCAGACGAATATAACGGAGGGGATGTCCTCCGTGTTGGCAATGGCGCAGGTTTGAGAATTTTGCGAGTTGGTTATGCATATGTACCTTCCGAGTCTAAATCTTTAGTTTTATCTAATGTGCTTTGTGTCCCGCAATTGTCTGTTCCCTTACTGTCAGTGCATCGGTTTACAAATGAAAACAATGTCTTTTTTGAATTTCACAGTGACTGTTTTATTGTGAAGGATTCAATAACCAGGGCGGTTCTGCTTAAAGGGCCCACGTTGGGAGGTCTATACCGGCTTCCAGTCTCGCAATCCCATTTTGCTTATATTACCGCCCATGCGTCTTCCACAGTTTGGCACAGCAGGTTGGGTCATCCACATTCCCACGTCCAAAATTGCATCCTAAAATCGTGTCTAGTTGCACTAAATAAAGCCGAGTCAGCGGGTTCATGCAAATCGTGTCATCTCGGGAAAGCATCAAGATTTCCATTAGATAGAGTTTTACATTCTAGTAAAAATGTATTAGATTTGCTATATACCGATATCTGGGGTCCAGCTCCTGTAATCTCGGCTAGCTACTTTTTACTATTTGTAGATGATTATTCGCGATTCTGTTGGTTTTATCCCTTACGGGTAAAATCTGATATATATATATATATAAAATCTTTGAGTCGTTTCGGGTCATGGTAGAACGCCAGTTTTCGCGTTCTATCAAGTCTATTCAGTCGGATCTAGGAGGGGAATATCGCAAGTTGCATCATATTTTCACTCAACTTGGTATTGTTCACCGTCAGTCTTGTGCATATACGCACGAACAAAATGGGCGAGTTGAACGCAAAAACCGGCACATAGTTGAAACCGGGTTAGCCTTAATGGCCGAAAGCTCAGTCCCACAACAATATTGGGATTACGCCTTCGAAACAGCCACCTGCCTAATAAACTACTTACCCACATCCGCCTTAAAATTCGAAAACCCATACACTCTCCTACATAAAACCCCCCACCATACACGTTTCTTCGAATCTTCGGGTGCCTGTGTTACCCATATCTTCGGCCTTACAATCGGCACAAGATAGAGTACCGTTAGGCACCCTGTGTCTTTCTAGGTTATCCACCCTCCTTTAGGGGTTACAGATGCATAGACTTAACGAGTGGAAAGATCTATATCTGCCGCCATGTCCACTTTGATGAATCTGTTTTCCCTTTTACAGGCTTAAAAAAACAGGCTACAACATCTGTAATACAACAGCCGGCACCCTTGGCCACTCACTACTACAGAAATGATATACTACGTCGCTTAATAGAAGGCAGTTTTTTAAATAACCGCCTTCTATTATATTTTGTTATACTACGAAACATAATAGACGTCGCTTTTCTAAATAACCGCCTTCTATTATATACTACGGCACTTAATAGACGGCGGTCTTTAAATAACCGCCTTCTATTATATACTACGACACTTAATAGACGGCGGTCTTTAAATAACCGCCGTCTATTATATACGACGTCACTTAATAGATGGCGGTTGTTAAATAATCGTCTTCTAATATATATTTACGTCACTTAATAGACGGCGGTTTTAAATAACCGCCTTCTAATATATATTTATGCCACTTAATAGACGGCGGTTTTAAATAACCCCCGTCTAATATATATTTACGTCAATTAATAGACGGAAGTTCTTAAATAACCGCCGTCTAATATATATTTACGTCACTTAATAGACGGCGGTTGTAAATAACCGCCTTCTAATATATATTTATGTCACTTAATAGACGGCGGTTTTAAATAACCGCCTTCTAATATATATTTACGCCACTTAATAGACGACGGTTTTAAATAACCGCCGTCTAATATATATTTACGTCAATTAATAGACGTCGGTTCTTAAATAACCGTCGTCTAATTTATATTTACGTCACTTAATAGACGGCGATTGTAAATAACCGCCTTCTAATATATATTTACGTCACTTAATAGACGGCGGTTCTTAAATAACCGCCTTCTAATATATATTTACATCACTTAATAGACGGCGGTTCTTAAATAACCGCCGTCTAATTTATATTTACGTCACTTAATAGACGGCGGTTGTAAATAACCGCCTTCTAATATATATTTACGTCACTTAATAGACGACGGTCGCCGTGTAAAGGTGTGATACTCGATATTTTTTTGGGCATTGTACGAGGACCGTATGTGCATACGACTAATTTTATTAAATTTTCCTAAATCAATATTATTCATTAAGCTTAATAGTTTCTTAATCCAAGAAAACCTAGTATTTTCTAATTATATACATGTGCACGTATATTATGTTCCTACATAGCATAATTAACCATTTCTCTTGTGGTTTGATGGTATTTGGTATGGACCTTTAAAAAAGTAGGTTCGGGATTGATTCCCATCCCAAGCGTGGATTGGAATATTTTTGATAAAAATGATCCTTGGCTTTACACTGCACCTTGGGCTCGGGGCCTTGAGCCCCCCTGAACCCTAAGCAACCAAGGCCCTGAGCCCTGAGCATAACTTGGATTGTGGTGCGCTTGGTACTTGGGAACCAACGGGAAGTCTGATTCCATGGCACTGCGAGACGTGACTCATAAGTGAAATGAACCAAGCGACTCCAGGAGCCAGCATTTTATTTTATTTTCTTTTAAGGTGAAAAATATATGTATAGACAGCGGTTCCTCAAGAAAACCGCCGTCTATACATATGAATAGACGGCGGTTCTTATATTGAACCGCTGTCTATACATATGAATAGACGGCGGTTCCTCAAGAAAAGCTCCGTCTATACATATAATTGTTGAGATTACACGACATACATCGTGAGATTAGACGGCGGTTAGCAACCGCCGTGTTTTAGAAGTATACACGGCGGTTCAAATAACCGCCGTAGAAAGTTTTTATTTACAAAGGCGGTCACTTAAACGGCACTTCAAGAACCGCCGTGTATTTATAAAAATAACCGTCATGGTAAGTGTGTTTTGTAGTAGTGACTGGGTCGATAGTAACACAGTCTGATTCTATGCAACCGACTGTTCAGCCGTGTACAGACAGCCCTACACCCCCAGTCTTGGCTATTGAAGGGCCCGTTCAGCCACGACGCTGTAAGGCTCGAGTTCCGCCTCAACCGCTTACAATGCGGCTCAGGCACATGACTCAGGGAATGGGCGAAGAGTTTCATGCCCTTAATGCCACTATAGAGCCAACATGCTACTCACAAGCAGTTGGGCATCCTGAGTGGCGTGAAGCTATGGATCAGGAGTTTAATGCCCTAGTACATAACAGTACATGGACACTAGTCCCGGATGAGCCACACATGAATGTCGTTGGCTGCAAATGGGTGTTCCGAACCAAGCGCACTGCAGATGGCTCAGTTGAGCGATACAAAGCCCGATTGGTTGCAAAAGGGTTCAATCAAGTGGCCGGTGAAGATTTCTTTGATACTTTTAGTCCGGTAGTCAAACCGACTACAGTCTGGCTCCTGCTCTCTTTAGCCGTGACAAAGCATTGGACTCTGCGACAGCTAGATGTCCATAACGCCTTCCAAAACGGCCATCTGGCTGAAACGGTATATATGAAGCAACCACCGGGATATGAAGATCCGGTTCATCCTGATCATGTGTGCCATCTACAACAGTCGTTGTACGGCCTTAAACAGGCACCCCGGGCATGGTTCAAGAGATTGCATGACTTCTTATTAACTGCAGGTTTCTTGGCATCCAAGACTGATGTTTCCCTCTTCTATTATTCCACTGGCACTTCACGTGTGCACCTGTTGGTCTACGTCGACGACATCATCATGATGGGAGACGATCCGACTCTAGTCTCCACTCTACTTGACAGGCTGGCTACAACCTTTAAGATACGTGATCTTGGCACTCCGACATTCTTCCTTGGGATTGAGACGCTCAAGACTGATACAGGGATCATACTCACCCAGCAGCGTTACATGAAGGATATCCTAAATCGTGCTGGCATGACCGATTGCAAGCCGTTAACCACTCCCGCTACTGTTAGTCAACCTGTATCACCGTCGGAGCAGCTGTTTGACAATTCGACTCAGTACAGACGCATTGTTGAAGCCCTGCAGTACCTAACTATCACACGGCCAGACCTATCATACGCTGTTAATCGCCTATGCCAGTACATGCACTCTCCCACGGTTGATCATTGGGCTCTGTTAAAGCGAGTTGTACGTTACATTAAGGGCAAGATGGACTACGGCTTACGGCTCACTAGCTCCGCTTCCTCTGTTGTACATGCGTTTTCAAATTCAGATTGGGCCGGCTACCCTCAAGACAGAAAGAGCACAAGCGGCTATGTTATTTTCATTGGCACAAATCTTGTTTCGTGGTTGTCCAAGAAGCAGCGGACGGTCGCACGTTCCTCTACCGAGGCTGAGTACAAGGCTCTCGCTGATGTCTCCGCTGTGGTCATATGGGTGGTTTCTCTTCTACGGGAACTTGGTCTACACTCTGGCGAGCCCTCTACACTCTGGTGTGACAACCTAGGCGCTAGTTACTTGTGCGCCAACCCCGTCTTTCATGTTAGGACCAAACACGTCTAGATCGATTTTCACTTTGTCCGGGATAAGGTGGACTCCGGGGATTTAGTGGTCAATTTTGTATCTACGAAGGATCAGCTGGCGGATATCTTCACCAAACCGCTGTCCGGCTCGCGGTTCGCTCTTCTTCGTGACAAGCTTAATGTGGTTGCTCACCCACCTTGTGCTTGAGGGGGTGTGTGAACCATAGTATATTTATTATTATTATTATCTTTGACTAGTCTTGTAACAGGTTTGTTTTGTTATGGTCTCCCTGTTAGATAGGATAGTATTACGTTAGTTGTTATTGGTTTTATATTGTAACTCCTATCCTATTGGGTTGAATAATCTGAAACAGTTATCTCATCGCAACCACAGTGCAACCAAAACCACAACTAAGAACTCTAACATACCAAAGACATAATACCACAAATAATACATCAATATAGCATCAATACACCACATTCATCACTCACAAACACAACATCTACCAATATTAATACACAAAACACATAATAATAACACTTGGAATAAAAAATGTGAGTTTTGGGTTTCCATGGATTATACCTCAAGCTTCTAGCCTCAATCTCATGAGCCATCCATCTCTATCCTTAAGCTAGACCTTCTTCATCACCATTTTCTAGGGCTCTAAACCAAACAACATACATACACATATATACACACGCACATCAGTAGCAGGAAAAGGAAAGAAGAAGAA